TACTCCTAACATGTCACTCACCTTCTATTTTCTCGACATAGTTGAATTGTCTGTGGTGTCCAGTTGGAATATCGAGGAACCTGGTGTTCCTGTGCCATCTTCAAATAGCTCTAGTGAAACGATCCAAAATTTGAAAGCAAATAAATTATAACTTGAATACGAAAACAAAATAATAGTGTTAGGGTTTACATTTATTACACAATAATTCAGAATACCCAATAAAATTACGGGAATGACTCTTTTAAAAAAACAACGAAAAATCAAATAAATAAATAGAAAGTAAACAACTGGACATCCTATTCGCAACTCTCTTGTGAATTAGAATCTGAATCTTGGTTCTCTTGATCTGAAATAATTACTGAAAAAGTGAACTATACTAACCCAATAAAAATGTCACACTATCACCGATACAGAAATGAAGGTTGGTAAAAATAATGAAAACAACTAATGAAACTTTTAATTTAAGTAAATTAATTTATTATAAATAAAATCATTTATTGTACAGTTACCGTAGTAAAATTTTCATGAATGCAAGTCTATTTTAGAAAATACTTGGACACCCTGTAATTAATCAAAAAAATCATCGATTTTGGGGAGGGAGTATTTGTTCTTGATCGTGACCCTGTTCAGTCCTCTGTAGTTAATATATAACCTTAACGTCTCATCTCCTTTCCTTACAAATGTGACTCCGGCACCCCAAGGGGACACATTATATTGGATGAATCTATTATCTTACAATTTATTGATCTATTTCCTCAACTCCTCCATCTCAACACAACTCATGCGGTAAGGGGCAACCGAAATAGGCTGGGTGCCTGGCTGAAGATTTATGGTGAATTCAACTTCTCTGTCTACTGGCAGTCCGGGTAGTTCATTTGGGAACATATCCGGGAAGTCTCAGACTACCGGAATCTCTTAAATACAAATTTTTTTCTTAGGTTTGCCTACTTAGAGAAAACAGTCGAGTTAAAACACTTGATAATAGGAAAAATTGGCATGAGGGAATAATGTTTAAAGAATTTTATTAATTTGTAAATGACTCTTCATTAGCAAGGTTGAATACAAGTTTTTTATTAAAGCAATCTACGGTGGCGTGATACGCTACTAGCCAGTTCATTCCTAGGATTATACCAAAGTCTCCCGTGTCAATCTCTATTAGGTCCACACCCAATTTCCTATATGCTATATCTATGATACAGGCTCTGTATATAACATCTCCCATTAGTGTCCTACTCACAGGAGTAAACACAAACAACACAGATTCAAGTCTTTTAGGTAATTCATTCAAGTTTGGTGTAAAGGCATGTGAAACAAATAAATGTGAGCCACCAATATCAATCAAAACATGTGCAAGATGATTACAGATAGTGTACGTACCTTGTATCACGTCTGAGTTGGCTTCTGCATTTTACTGAGTGAGGCTGTAAGCCTTACCCTGGATAGGAGATCTAGCCTGATTCTGATTTCTCGGACACTCTCTCGCGTAATGTTGAGCACTCCCATATATACGGTAAGTATTGTTGAGGCGATAGCAGGGTCGGTCCCCATGATCCTTGCCACAGTGTTGGCAAGTCTTACTGCGTCCTGTTGTTAAAATCTAAGGAGGAGACTGAGTCATTGGCCTAGGTCTCTTATTCTGCTGAATAGGTGTAATAGGTGCTGATCTGCAGTGTGAAACCGAGGGCCTGAGGCTCCCTACTGCTGGAGGAAAAATGCGAAGATTCCTCTCCACTAGCTATGCTTTGACCAAAACGACTAAGTAAGTACTAAACTCGAACACATACAGCTACTGTCTAATCTCAGGACAGAGACCCCACTCGAACTTTCTTAACTTTCTGCATTCATCTATCATGCTCTTAAAGGAATACCGGCCAAACTCTATGAACTTTCGGGTATATTCTGATACAGTCATGCCACTCTGAACCAGGTGTGCAAACTTCATTTCCTTCAGATGTCGGAGATATTTTGGGAGGTACTAGATGATATGGTAAAAGCACTGGATTGTACTGTAATGGTGTCGGGTGATGCGATTGGGGCACCGGACCATACTGTGATGGTGCTGAATGGTATTGTGGAGGAGTAGGGTCGTACTGGGGTGGCTCAGGATCCTCCAACTGCAGAGGTGGCTCAACTTGTGGCAGCGAAGGAGGGTCAGGTAGCTCCCTCTTTCCTCCCGGGCCTAGTGGACAGTGATGAGTCTCTCCAGTATTTCAAATAATCGGTCAACATCCTCTCGAAGCGAACCCTCTCGGGCTGTTCGGTTTAGTGGGGGTCTTCCTCTCCTCATCTATCTGTACCTACATTTCACAAGGAATGACTGAGTGATGATTCATTTTTTTGTTGTTTCCTAGGGTTTTTGTGTAAGGAATGGTTCCGAGGAACCTGGTTCTGATACAAACTGAAACGACTCGGAACTTGAAAGAAAATAAATTATGAATTGAATGCGAAGCGAAATAATAGCGTTAGAGTTTACATTCCTTACACAATAATTCAGAATACCCAATAGAGATACGGGAATGACCATTCTAAAAGAATAACAAAAAATCAAAGAAATAAATGAAAAGTAAACAACTGAATATCATATTCGCAACCCTCTTGTGCGATTGGGGCACTATTTATTTGAAATAGTTATTGAAAAAGTGAATTACACTAAACCAATAAGAATGTCACACTACTCACTGATACAAAATGAAAATTGATAAAAATTATGAAAACGACTAATGGAACTCTTAATTTAAGTAAATTCATTTATCATAAATATAATAATTTATTGTACACTTAGCGTAGCGAAATTTTCAAAACTGACCTATAGAAACAATCACACAAATAATATCATAATCTCATAGTCAATTAAGCAGAACAACTCTCCCTTTTTATTTGCCAACTGGTATCCATGGGGGTCCATAGGAATGTTCCCACTACGCGTGAACCCTTATTCAACATTGTCAACTAACCGGCCATCCCCGTCTGGTATGAGTGTAAAAAATATCATCCCTCAATACCTTATCCGCTATGAGGGTGAAACGGGTCGTCCCCATAGCTCGTTCGGTATGAGCGCCAAAATACCAATCATTGATACCCTGTTCGATATGAGACAACGTGCACGGTGAGTTCCCTATGCACCCGATCCGTCTACCATCTCCCAAAATATCCAGTAAGACTATCATTTATTCATTCAATTAATCAAACAATTCCACAGCTACATTTAATTTCCAGTTTCACAATTTAACTGTAAATCACACAAAACAAGCAATACATGCATTAAGAAAACACAACTGAATCATTTGACCAATTCCAATATATTATTATGTATTTAAAACTGTAAAATCAATTAATAAGTTAAAACATGACAAACAGTAATAAATAACCGGTACCGCTCCATTAGTACCTGTAATAATATAAAGTTTCGAAATTAAGCAAAATACCGTATTATTTATAATTAGATTTCAATTCCATAATAGAGAATAAGGTGAAAGATTCCTGAATCGGTATCCGAAACACTAAACTTTCAGCTGCGCCCACTAGCGATCCCTGGGTTTTCTAAATTTTCTTTCGGAGATTAAAACACGATTCAAATACCTAAAAATATCCCAAAAATCGGTGTTAAAAATCTTTTTCGATCAATTTCAGAATTCTGGCATAGTGGCACCGCCGTGCTCTGGTGATGGCGGTTTGCCTCGGACTGGCCAATTTCCGTCAGTTTTGACCGATTTCGTTCGATTTTATATTCATTCATGTGAGAAAACACGCTAGGGGCCTCGATTGGCACAAAAAAGTCAAAAAGCATAAACTTACCGGTGGCGAAATTTTCCAGTGCAGCGGCTCTGCCAGCTCACCTTCGCGGTTGGGCGTTTTTCATCAGTCAATCCGTGGGAAACAGAATGGTGAACACAATAGCGAAAAAATCACACAAAACGGGAATCGGGAAGGGACTCATCGGAGGCGGTTTTTAATTTTTTTTGTGGTGGCGTTGTCGGGCTTTACCCACAGTTTCCGACTCATCCGTCGGCCCTTTTGCTTTGATTTGGCCATAGAAGTGTTCAAAATCAAATTTTAAGTGAATAAAATATTTTTTTTTTTTACCTTTTTTAGTAGTCGGAGGTGACTTCGGCATAGCAGCGGGCGACGGTCAGTTCCCTTCTCCGGTGACTGATTCTTCTTCTCCGACGGGAAGCTGGCGGCTAGGGTTAGGATTCGGTGTAAAGTGGGATATTTATACTTATCTTCCTTTAATCTGTACCGTCCATCGCGTTTGATATCGACCGTCTGATCGCATTTAAGGAGTAAATGAATCCGAACCATTCATCGCGATTTGATCTGAACCGTACAATCGTGTTTAAAAAGAGAACGAATTTAGGCCGTTCATCGCGTTTAATCGCGACCATTTGATCATGTCTGAGAAGGAAACGAATCCGGACCGTCCATGCGTGCGGGAACAAATCCGAACCCTCCGATCGCAGGCATGCGGATTGCAAGCGTGGCCTCCCGCGCGGCACCGAGTCAACATGTCTTGCCACGCAGCACGCTCCGGTTCGTCGGCACCGCTGACTGAGCGGTCTTACGTGACACATTTTTCTTAAATTTCGTTTTGATCATCAATTTCCGATTTTTCTTTCAAAAACATCATTAGAATCCAATTTTTTACTAATTTTTTCTAAAATTATTTTCAATTTCATCATCAACCTATTTTTTTCCTAATTTTACATAAATAAAAATTTATAAAATTAAAATTTATATTTCTATATATTAATTTTAATTTTTAAAATTAAGTCTCGGTAGTACATTTAGAACCTCAAGAGATTTCCACCATTAGTACTAAGTTGGTTAAGATCGACCCCGATACTATCTCAGCTCTTCTTCTCACATGAGACAAGGCTCTTTGTTCCACCACATCATAAAAAATGTTCTAAAGTTTGCATCAAGTTGTCCCTTCTCGCTTCTGCATACTCAAACTCCAGCTTTCTCCACAGTTTCAATTTGGAACGTTGAAGCTTCTTTACAAGCTTAAACTAGCACGTCCTTCGAATACCTGAAAAAGCGATATCTCAACTGATAGTAGAAGGTCTTCTACCTTCCCATGGCAAGAATGTGTTGCTTGTGGTGGTCGACAGGTTCTAATATTCACATTTCTAGTCCTTATTTTATCCTTATACAACCATAGAGGTGGCTTGATTTTTCTTGGTTCCATCTTGCAAGCTACATGGATTAACCAGGTCCATTATGAGTC